TATTATATATTATATACTAATAATATTCATCTAGGATCCGAGCGATCGGTTCGGGGCCTCACCAATAGCACCAGCTGAACCAGAATGACATTAACGATTATCTATAGCTAGATATATATCTAGTCGACTTAGATCTAGATGTTTACCGGGTCCGGTTCTGGTACTGGTTAGATCTAGCTAATGATTCGGGCTATGTCCATATAATGGTCGAGCTACCAAAGTCCTGAGAGAAGCGGCGCCCACGGATGTAGAATCCGTTTGCCGAGGAAGCAGTTGTGGTGCTGGACCCGGAGGCACCGGACTTTCCACTCAGCTCGAGGGACTCACTCAGGTTTTTTGTTCTTTTGGCTGGTGGGCTCTTGGTTGGGGTCCAGTTGGTAGCAGGGCGAGTCGAGGAATCACCAGTCACCTTCTCTCCTCGGGGTCGGGTCGTAGCTTTATCCACAGAAGTCGTCCTTGTAGCAGTCTTCGTAGCTTTAGGTTCCACAGAAGGCGTCCTTGTAGCACTCGGGACTTTAGCAGCAATCTTTCCAGAGCCAGTCGCCGCGGGCTTCTGATGACCTTATCTATAATTAATTAGCTAGGCCAATATAATATTATGGGGATCATATCGATGATACTGAGCGAGGTATACCATATATGTGCTTGCATCTCGGATACCTGGGTGGCCCATGCGAAGTGCTGCTCGAACTTCAGCATCAACATCTAACTCGGCACCAGAGGAAGCCTTATAGCAGCAGCAGATTTGTGTTGTGGATGATCATGCACAGGAATGAATGAACAATTGCTGTCCAGGCACAAGCGAAGCTGCAGACGACCGCCTGGATAAGGCCGACTCCACTGAGCCCTTCCTGTGTAAAGGAACCGGTGTTGCCCCCTTGGTATAGGGCCCGGGTCGCTTCTTCGCATCTGCTTTCGACAGACTCATGATGAGGCCCCCAGAGGCACCCCACTGAACAAGCCTCAAGAAGCTAGCTCTCCCCAGAAGTTCCGACAGGTCCTTGAACCAGGGCCCGCCCGGGTCACGAAAAGTCACGCAAAGTCACGCTGAAACCTTCTGGAGCAAGGTCTTGACACGCAAATTCACGCAAATTCACGGTCGGGCGTGTCACGGCAATTTTCGGGGCACCTCGCCGTAGATCTAAGGGTGACACATGAATTATGGCTGCACTCGAATTTTTGCACCGTGGCACATAATTGTTGGCCTTTGCTGGCGTAAAAACCTTCCTCGGAATGGTTCTGGGGTATATTACATGGAGCGAGAACACTATATTAAGGGTATGAGGTGAGAAGACTAGGTGTGGGATATAATTGGTGGGCTCAGGGCTTCATGTTAGGTCAAAACCTTACAGAGAAGGGTTTTAATATTAATTCGGTGGGGCCTGGCTTCGACATTTCTAGGAAAAACCTTCCTGTGAGAGGTTTTGGGACTACCTGGGCTAGGTGTACTATATAACGACAAAACCGTTCTGAGCATGGTTTCCCGATTGAGGCTAGATCTCGCGGGCCCTCGTCCGGAACCGAGCCGCATCATTACAAAAATATCCCGAGGATCCGGAACCCAGCACCAGAAATGCACAATGATCCTTGATCATGATCGACCTAAATTTTGATCTAGATCTAATATATATAGCTACATGGGTCTGTGGCTTCCGATCCCGGAACCTGATCACAAAATCGGCACAATGCTCGGTGCCAGGTCCTGTGGTGGCGACCACATGCCGACCTCTTCTACTGCCTGCAGGAAATCCGCCACCTCTCCAAGATCAGCTTCTCGCCAGTCGTGGAGCAAAGGTGGAACCTAGGATAAGGTTTCGGAAATCATCAATCATAACATATTCTTATCGCCAGATAAGAGATTGCATTTATTCAAGTCGCCATCAGTTCTCCAGCTAGAAGCTTGTCATGCATCGTGTATAGGGAGAGGCTGTCGTTGACATTGGATTCGTGCCGACCAGCCTGGGAAACCAACACTGCTATGTTTATAATCCCGGGGGACCGGGTAGCAGCTTGAATAGCTCTAGGTGCGGCCTGGCTTCCACAAGACCACAATGAAGCTCAGCCACTCGGATACCAAAATCAATCGGATATGCACCCGATTTCTCCAAGCCATCTTTCACACCAGTCCTGGGCAGAAGTAGCTACATAATATTATAGCATGCTACTATTGTAGGGCTTGGGGGTATAATATAGGGGTTTAGGCGGAAGTTAGGATGATGGATAGTATCGAGAACCAGAAAAGCCGAAAAACACTTTCTTCTTCCCACTGCCGTCTTTGGCAATGGTTCGCTTCACCAGGACCATCTGCATAGCCTCTTGTCGTTGCTTGATTCGTTGTCGGTCCTTCTTTGTCATCTTGTTCTTCAACTTCATTACCCATGGCCTGGAGTATCGCACATGTATGCCTAGTAGCAGCAGTACTGGCAATGAAGAGAGGAATCGTCAATTAAGGCACGAGCGCGGACCCGAATCCAATGGAGGGCTTGAAGCACCAATGGTTGTATAGACCCATCCACCTGATCATGTACACTGAAACTAGCATTATAATTACGATCAACTCAAAGCATGTACGATATGAAGATCGTAACATTAATATGCAAACTAAGGAGCCATCTGACCATTTGGTTGTCCATGAACTCGCAGTTCAATGTCTTTAACCGCATGGCGTATTCAAGGTAAGGAAACATCTGGAGTGCACTGAGGGACGGTTGCTCCAAGAACCAATAGACCCCCCGCGATATCGCGAGGAGCAATAACAAAATTGCTCTTGCACATAGCATGTTCCCAACCCTCACCGATTCGGAGTCCTGATTTCCCAGAGGGTTTGCCTGAGTCCGCTGGTGCCTGCTGGAAGCAATCCAACAGAAGGAGGCACACGGCACCCCCAAATAGAGCAAACCGCCTCGGCGGATTCGTAATACTTTCTGAATAGCGATCATAAAGCCGGGCACCGTTCCCAGGTTTTCGTCCTCCCGTCGTAGACAGTCGAACTCCATCCTGGAATGCTAGCTAGCATACAACCCATTGTCGTTTAAACTCGGGGTCACGACGAATTCGAAGCTAGCTCCGGTGCAAGCCAAGGCACGCTTTGC